AAATACATAATTTAATGATTATATATAAATCTAAATGGACATACTTATAGTAAATATTTTGCCATAGCAATCATGGAACAATAAACCTATAGCCTTTTTATATGGAAAAATGTTCACTTCAAATTTTCCTTTTCCAAGTATTTTGATATTCATCTTAGTTTCATTGGCCTCAGTCTGCAAAAACATAACTTACTAATAAAAAAAATACTTTTATAAATATTACATAATTTTGCACTATTCTTGGGCTTGATTTTTTGATTCTATAAACTTCCACAAGATACTTTTCGGCATTAGGATACTCTTGCCATTTGATGGAGTAATTTCTTCCGTAATCTTTAATCAGATTTATTTTATCACCTGGTTTGCATTCACTTTTCCCCCCTGATATCAAAGTGACATAGCAAAAAATGATCGAAAAGAAAAATAACAATTTGAATCCTTTAAGCGAATACATTGATTTAAAAATTGGTAATTATATAAATATCTAAATTATTTCTTCTGATATAAGAATGATTAGGAGTTTATATGAATTTAAATAGTGATTATTTAAAAATAAAAAGGAAAATATTTGCATTGGCAAAAGCATATTCCAAGAATTTTTCCATGTTTGTTTTATGAGTAAACGTAAATATTTAAAGAAGAAAAAAAAAATTGCTTTTTTATTCAAGGTTATCTTTCATTTTCCCTTCTTTAAGATGAAGTTGTATATTTTTGAAGAATATTTTTAGATTTATAAACATTGCAAAACTCTATCATTTGATAACTATATCTCCTATAAATAATGTATATTCTTGAAAAAATAAAGGTTGACAGAAACAGTTATTTGAAACTGTAACTATATATTGGTTAATGTTTCAGATAAAAATAACGATTCCGAATCAAGATTCCTTCACAGAATACAATAATATCTATTCGGCTTAAACATTTAGAATCAGACTTTAACCATTTTGCCATTCAAATTTAATAAAATTATTTGTAGAGAGAAACATATATATTTAAATAAATTAACGTTTCACTTTATTGCATATTCAAATATTCTTAATGTAAAAATTGCCAAGATCAAAATAAACAGAATTTATTAAACTCGAATATAAAAGAAATGATAAAATTAATTTCCTATAATTATGAATATTATTTCGCATATAATTGTTAAATACAAGTAACAATGTTTATTAATGGATTTTGTATTGTAGAAGACTTAAGGCTTAAAACGATATATTATATTATATTTAATACTAAATTGATGTTTTGAAAATTATACAATGATTTTTATTTTAATATTAAATTGATATTAATTTTGTATATATACTTAAATGATCATGATTACTTTTACCTTTAGTTTTTTTGATCTTAGTTGATAAAAAAATCATCATTCTTGCTTAAATTATTCAATACAATCGCTCACAATTTATTCAATTCAATTATTACAATTTCTCTTTCATTAATAATAAAAACTGAAATGTTCAGCAGAAAGCTAAGAATTATTGCCGATCTTCATATTTTTTTTTCTCTTAAAATCTATGACGATTTTTCTTGATATTTTTTTTTTTGATTTTCTTACATTTTTTTAAATATTGAATTTCTTGGAAGATACGATAGATAGCTCGGAAATATTTATTTTATTGTTTGTATTCTTATTTCTTTGAGTGCTTGATAGGGTTGTGATAGCACTTTTCCCTAAAATGAAACCCATTAGGTGTTTCAATTGAATTTAAAATTAATTATTCATCTAGGTCCCCGGGTCTAGGTATGGGGGCGGGGGGATGTAGTGTCCTGCATATTCAATTTTTTGGTTCAAGCCCTGCTAGGCAAAAATACTTTTAAATATTAGGACCCTAGCACTGTTCGAATTTTTTGATTAAAAAAAATAAATAGATTAAAACCATTTTTATGAAAATAACTAAAGTAATTAGCACTAATCGCTTTATCATTTAGACTAATTAATTCGTCATTTTATTTTGATAAAAACCAGAGAAAACATCATTTTCTATCCTTATTTCTTAGAAATTTTTATTTTTTTTTAAACCCGAACCCGGCCTGATCAAATTTATTTATCTTAATTGGGTCCAAACTCGTTTCACTTTAATAATTTAAAATTTTAAGGTCCGAGCAAGACCTAAGCTCTACTTCGGGCTAAATTTAAGGCTCTAGGGAGGAGAAGGAGGTAGGGAGGGACATTACCATGTAAAAAAAAATTATTTCACATCAAATGATAGCTTTTTTTAAAAATCAATCCATATTTCTAGGAACACCAAAAATCGCGAGTTCATCAAACGAATTGATAATACGAAGATGGTACACCCTTTTTTTAAAAATATAAATTATATGAAAGTTTTAAATGCAACAAGTTTTGCCAGATATTGGCCCACCGCCCGGCCCGGGTACACGGATCGGGCCGTATTTTAATTTTTTTAAATATGTCCGGGCCGGGTTTAAAAATTTTAGTTTAAAAAAAAGCTGGGCCGGGTTGTGCCGAAAAAATTTTTGAAAAAAAATTCTGCCAGGGCCGTGCAAATGATTCCTCTGCAGGTCTCTGATTTATATGCACGAATCGGATACATTTAATATATACATGTATATATATTACAATATATTTTCAATTAATTTCATGATATTTATGTAATTTCCTCATTTGAAAAATTAATAAAATATAAAAAAAACATAATAACACTCATCCCGAAAGGGTAAAAGCCCATGGTGTTTTTCATAAATCTTAAATGTTAAGTTTTTAGTTTTTTAATTTTTATATTTAAAAAAACGAATTCAAATCAAAGGTCATATATATATAAAACATATAGCGATTATAAAGATATAACGCGTATACATTTTAAAAGAATTAATTTTAAAGAAACACAATTAAAGTTAGTGTTGTTAAATGGCTCGTTTTGAGCTGATTTTTAAAAACGGCTAACTCAATATTTCATCCAGAATAATATTACGCAAGCCTGAAGATTTTGTTTTTAGAAGTAACAAAGGTTTGGACATCTATTAGCTGAATCTCGAGGCTTAGAAAATATTTTTCTGGCCAAAATATTGAGATAGCCGTTCCTAAATATCGGCTCAAAAGGCGCTGTTTAACAACACTAAATTAAACTAGGTAATAACAAAGATCATAAATGAGATCCCATGAATAGAAATGCAATTACTTTAATGATTAGCCATAGTAGTGGCTTGTTTTAAATATACGGCTTTATTAAAATGGCCACTTATTTGGCTTAATTTTTTCCCTAAATAATGTGATAAATTTAGGGAATTTCTTATCAAAAGCATCAAGAATTGCCAAGTGGGATAAAAATTACGTTAGCGATGCCTGAATATTTATTTATTTTGGAGATTTCCGACCTAATTAAAGCATTTCTGTTGGATCATGCTGAAAATTCAATGCACGTTTTAATAGAAAAATTAATTTTTTTTTATATTATTAGTTTCAAAGATTTAAATTACATTTAAATTATTTGAAAAATTTGCGTTGTTCATTTTTTACCTTTAATTTTTTATGAATAATATAAACATAGTCTCCCTTACTAAACATTAATTTTTAGGATTATTTCATTTTTTTTAATAGAGAAATTGCCAAATATTGTGATTTTATAGTAAACTCTTGAACAATAATTGGAACTAATGAAGCATTAAATATTGACATTTTTTAATGTGGTTACAATCAGCAACTTCATGGTGCTGATGAGTGGTATACAATGAAAAAGGAAGAAATAAAAGTAACAAAGGGAAATATTGAAACAAAAATCCCCAATTATTATTTACGGGCTGTCCGAAGCTCGGAAATTGAAGGCTTTTTCCCAGCCTCGTGGAGAGGTATTGAAGCATGAAAATTAATATTAGAAATATCCTCAATAATCATTTCCTTTCATCAAAATGTCAATAAGAATCACATATCATTTTTCATTTAACACACTTCATTTATTAATTTATGTAATTCAATTTCACAAATTAACAATTTCCAGTGATTTGTATTGTTATTAGTTAAAATTTTATTACTTACATATTTCATACTCTATTAGGTTAAATAAAATATATCTTATATTCTACATTTAGCCAACATAAAATATAGAATATTAATCCGTTATAACTGTTAAGCAATATTTTCATTTGATAATTTTTTTAATTTGAGATCTAATCAATTTAAATAGCCTCAGATTTTTATATTTGTTAAGGTTGGCAGGGAGTAAAGCAAGATTAAACAAAAAGATTTAAAAATTTTATTAAATAAAATATATTTTTAAAATAAATTTTAACTGAAAAACTACAATAAATTTATTCTTTATATATAAAAAAAAACTATTAAATAATTAAATGAAACTATTAAGTAAAGTTAATATAAATTGTGTAAATTAAATGAATGCGACATACAAAAATTTGGGCTATATAACAACCAGTATAATAATATAATAATCCATGTTTAACAATATTTATAAATTTTTTTAGGTAAATTAAAAAATATATTTTCCTTAGATATTATAATATTCAAACTTAAATGGCAACCTTTTTTTATAGTCTGACTGTAACAAAAAATGCTTCAGGTTCTGACACTTATTTTTTGCAAATATACTCGGATCGCCAAAAGATGCATTACCAGACTGAAGGGTTGGCAAAAGTGGGTTTGGGAAATAAGCCGATCAATAATACTCCCCAGTCTTTCACGAACAAATTTTATAGAATTACATATTGAGTGAGTGTACATCAACCAAATTATATATTTAAGTTCATTCATTACCTTAGAGGGTAGGATAGCCCTTAATATAACCATAAATATAATAAAAATATTTATTCCAGAAAAGTAGTCTAACCTTTATGTGAAGTAATAATGTAGCAGTCTAAATATAATTCTAAAATATCCTGAGTTTTTTGGGAACGAGGCATGTATCTCGGTTATAATAAAAGGTGGTATCGAGCTATTTGTACCCCTTATCGTTGTTGATGAATAGAAAATTGATAAGTTATGCCTGTCAACTGTGATTTATTTCATTTTAGCACTGTTGCGTTATTTGCAAAATGGCTATAATTTTCGCGGCATTATCTCAAACCTTTTTAACAATGATCATGCAACTTGTAATAATTTTAGCTAGTATAATAGCTCTTGCTGAAAATAGATGTTATGACAAATCTAAAGATGATGTATTTAAAAACAAGTAATAATTATACTTAACCTCTTTTGCCGTAGAAAAATTCTATAGTCGAAAAATGTTCCTGAATCATTTAGCAAATATTTTTTAAAATTGTCTGTAGATAAATCAAGACTAAAACAATTTATATAATTTTATATATTCCAGGAAATTTTATTCATTTGCCTCAAATTTGGGCAAGCATGTTCAAGTGCCAACAACATTAGATTATAGAAATTTAAATGGGAAAAATTATGTTAGTCCTACAAGAAATCAACATATACCACAATGTAAATTATAAATAAAAATTATTGTGTTTTTAAATTTTGATATTCTAAAAATATTTATTGGCATTTATATTTAGCTAAAATAAAAGAGTGTTAAATAGTATGGCTGTGCAGTTCAGAAAATTTTTCACAATTTTGATGCTATTCTAAACCAATTTTCTAGTGATACTGATCCTATATTTAAATTATTTTTTATTTACCATCATTGAACCAAGGTTATAAAAAATTAATATTTTCAATTCAAAGGAAAACCAAACTTTTACAAATGATTAAGTGTAATATATTTAATTATCTTAAACCAAAATTCAGTTCAAACAAGGTTCACAATATTTATTATGAAACATTTCTTACTAGCTTTCTTTAAAATTAGTTTACAAAAACTGGTTAAAGGCCTTGTTATTTCATATTAAACAAAGTGTTTTAATCCATTTGAGTCCATTAAAATCTTGAATAATTGGAAATCAAAATTTGCAAAAAAATTTAATTTTGGCAGACTGGCCTAATATTTTTTTAAAATAAATTTATGCCAAGCCTGTTCTGGCTTAAATTTTGAAATAAAATTTAATATTTTAACATTTGGGTGTGACTAAAATATGAATCCCCATAAACTAAGAAATCCCCTTATAAACAAGCACATATTACATAAAAATTTTACACATTCCAGTTCAGCTCTTTAATATGAATAGGAAAATGTTTTTCATAATTAAAATAAAAATTCCCACAGCAATCCTCGAAAATTGTGGATTATTATAAAAAAAATAAATATACATTCAAATGTGATATAGAAAATATAAAAATTATTTTTAAAGTAACAGAATATTGAAAAAAACTATTTTTTTTGACTAAAATAAATTCCCTATTAAAGAGCCTCAAATATAAAAAATAAAATATAGAATCATGTATACAAGAGGATTCAGAAAATGTAAATATAAATTTTTTTAAAAAAAATTTAAGATTTTGAAAAATTTTAAATGAAGCAGATATTTTTTACTAAAACAATATTAGGGTATTAGCAATCATAATTTGATTTTAGTTCTATTTACAGCTATATAAATATTATGATCTTGGAACAAAAACCATCAATTGATGGATCTTCTAATTTTAATAAATATATTAAAATAGTGCTAGATATTGGTATCTTGTTTAAAGAGATTGTTATGATTTTCCGGAATATTCTAAGATAAATAATCCAAAATTATGGCTAACTATACATTTCAGTTTTTAAAAAACTACTCTTACATATTTTTCTTATATTTATTTTTTTGAAAAAATTAAGATTGTGGTTCGTGCTGGGCCATGGGTAGCACTTCAGCCCTCGCTGATCGCATAAACATCCTCAATAATGGTTCCTGGCCCAGAGTTTACCTTTCTGTTCAAAACGTGATCGATTGCTCTGGGGCAGGAACTTGTGCCAGTGGAGGTGGCCATTTAGGTGTCTATAGCTATGCCAAGGATGCAGGAATTCCAGACGAGACTTGTAACAATTACCAAGCCAAGGATCAAAGTTAGTATTTTTTAAAAGAAAAAATATTATTTAAAGATAAAAAGAAAGTCAATCCAAGCAATACCCTGTGACCAAAATTTTGAGCTCACAATCTAATTACATTAGAGTATTATTAAATTGATCAACTGTCTAAATTGGACAAACATCTTGGTCCCAAACATGTCCAAATTAGATAGGTTTTACTGTACCTTATATCTTTGCATTTTAATAGTGTAGTGTTACTTATTATTAGGTAGCAACAACATGAACCTAAAATTTTAATCTAAAATTTTTTTTAGTCTTTGTGCCATTACGTATATATTTTTTTATATATCAAATTTGTGTCTTGATTTAGCAATCCTTCAGTAGAGTCATAAGTCCAGATTTGTATTTTGAAAATTTTGATGGGTTTCGAGTCATGACTCCACCTTTCCTCCCATGAATGCAACTGTATAAAGTTTTAAAAGTAGGAACTAATTTTAAAATTGAATTCATTATAACAAAATAACTTTTTCGTTAGCCAGAAGTAGGCTCAAAGATGCTATAATTTAGGGTTTCGAGATATCCCAGCTATAATGAAGCTAAATTGCTATTTGAGCGATTTTTAAAAACAGCTAACATAATATTTCAATCAGAGTAATACTGCCTAAGCCCCAAGTTTTCTCTAACAAGATGTCCAAACTTGTACCATCTGTGAGCAGAATCACTAGCTTCAGGCTTGTTATAATATTTTTCTGGATAATACACTGTTAGCTGTTTTTAAATTGGCTCAAATGAAGTGATTTTGTATCACCTAGCCCCAGCCCTGTTTTACATAAATAGTTTATCATCAAAATATGTCATTTTTATTCCTATTATTTTATTTTTTTTTAAAAAGATATAAAATATCGAATTTCTCAAAGTATATTTATATCTTAATGTCCTTTAATATAATTCTTTTCATTTATACATTATTATTTTTTTTAAAAATATGATAAATGTCGTTTTGTTTGTTAAATGAATATTAATCATATTTTTAAAAAGTCGTTTTGTTTAGCTGCCTATATATATAGCTTCTCTCTCTCTCCCTCTTAAACAGACTAAAAAGTGAAGAAAACTAATTGCATTTACATAAAAAGAAACATTTATACAGCCAAAAAAATCTTAGCATAATGTACAAACTTCAAATAATCTAAGAATAAGGTGCTCTAGTTCAAAATCTGTTTAGCCTGCAAGATAAGAATAAGATGAACTGGGACATGGTCTGAAAGTATTTTTTCTTAAAATAATTCAGGGTCTATATTTTGGGGGATTTGGCACGTTTCATTCATTCATATTTTAAAAAATTGGGAGAGGGGATAATTGATACCAATCTTAAAATATTTTTCGATTATGCTGGCGGTGAACCAATTTATTGAATTACCTTTTGAACGAGAAAAGTTTTCTAACAAAGCATTATTTTAATATATATATTTTTAATTGGATGAGATATTTAAAAAATTATAAATTTAACCAACAATTTGATATATATAATACAATATAGATTAAATTTAGATGTAAAATTAGATATTTACAGTTGATTTTATTTTTTTCCCTAAATTTTAAGCCCCCGATTTTTTTTATAATCAGGCCGCCATTTTAATTCTTTTATTAACTTTGCAAATTTTTATTTTCCTTTAGTTTTAAGAAAACGAGAAAAAAAATATAAATATAACCTTATTTACTAAACATTGAGTTTGTAAAATAATGATATAAATATCATCTCTTATATAATTCGAAATTCTGTTTTTAAATTCCCTTGGGCTTTATCTGACATATTTTAGAGCACATTTAAAAAAGTATATTTATTCAAATTATAAACATAGCATATTTCGAAGTTAAAGCTTACACATAATAGGGTGGGGGGGGATAAAATTTTAACCATAAAATATTTGTGTGAATATACAAATAGCAAATCATTCCATTTGTTTAAAAGAATTGATTATGAATAATTTAATATTCGAACTTTTGTTTTTGAATACGACCTATTGTTTGAAAAAGCCCGGGTCTATTTATCAAAACGTCCCTGTTAAGATTTTAGCTAAAATTGTATTATGTAAGCTGATTTGGCAAATAAATGTTCAAGCATTTCTGCCAGCTATGACCAAAATCTTTAGGCCTACAGAATGTTATTTTGGATATAAGCTTAATCGGGCCATTTTTTCAAAATCAGACCTATTCTTTAACAATAGATTTTTCTTTTTATTATTAACTCTTCCAATATTCTAATTAGAGGTCTGCATTGGTCGGGTTTCCTGCCCACCCGCCCACGCCCGCCCATCTAAGTGGGCAGGTGGGCGGGTAAAATTATTTTAAAAACGGGCAGGCGGCAAGGCGGGCGGGTTAAAAAAATTTTATTTTAATTAATAAAAAATTGTTCTTACGAACTTAAAAAATAAAATGCCTTTTTCTGGTATAACTTTAAAATAAATCAACTTTTTTCTTTAATTAAAAAAACTTTTTCTACAAATAAAAACAAATTTTTTTCTATAAACAAATTAAAATCTCCTTTTATGGTAATGAAATAAAACTTTCTTCTTAAAATATATAATTTTTTAGATATTGAAAATTAAAATTTCCTTTTTTGGGAATAATGAAATTACTCCATTGTGTTATTTTATTTTAGTAATGATTGTTTATCTTTATATTGCTCTTTTTATTTTCATTTTCATTTTCATTTTCTTATATAATATATAAATATTATTTTTTATAACATAATTTTAACAAAATAATATTTTTTAATTTAATTTTAAAATATGAATAAAGAATTGATTGCTAAGAAAATAAAAAATAATTTTTATAAGATAAAAAACAATGAAGATAATAATAATAAACTTAAATCGTCTATGTGGAAACAATTTAAAATTTTTTTGATGAAAATGACAAAAAGCTAGATTGGATTCGCTGCAATGATTGCTAGTCCATCTTTAAATATAATAGCAAAAGTGGCACCTCCTTCTTCCTTCGGCATCAATGTTCATCTGCAAATTATGAAGATTTGATAGATCATAAAATAATAACTGGATATTTTGAAAAAGACAATTCTCAATTAAACAAAACGATAAAATCTGGTCTAATAGCGAATTTTGTAGAATATTGCGCTAGAGACATTAGGTATTTTAATTTAATGAATTATTCTTTTATCTTTTTTAGGCCATTTCAAGCAGTTCAAGGACCTGGATTTATAAATATTTTACAAAGATTTGCCGACTTAGGGGCAACATATGGTAAATTGGATGTTAATAAGATCATCCCTTGTGCTACAACAGTTAGCCGCAACGTATCCAAACGCTACTTCTGAAAGAAAATTTAGCATTGCCGGAAGGTTTTTAGAACAAAGAAGAACGTGTTTGAATCCCGAAAATGTGGATTCATTATTATTTTTGCATTATAATTACTTATAATATTTATTTTATATTTTATAAATATTTTATTTGATAAAATAAATAATCCATAATTTAAATTGAATATTTTTTAAGCTTAATATAGTAATTTCCTAAATTATAAAACTTATAGAGATGTAATGTTGAAACTATTCATTAGATGCTTAAAATAGCGGGCTTGGGTTAAAAATTTTTTATAAATAATGGGAGGGAGGGTAAAAAATTTCTGGCTAATGGGCTGGCGTGCAAGAAATTTTAGACTAATGGGCGGGCGGGCGGGTAAAAATTTTTAGATTAATGGGCTGGTGGGCAGGTATATTTTTTTTGAAAACTATGGGCGGGCGGGTTAAAAATTTTTTTAAACATTGAGTGGGTGGGCATATTATCCAAAAACCCGCACAATGCAGACCTCTAATTCTAATAACACTTATTTTATAATAAGGTACGAACATATTAATATTTTGTGTTGGTTGAGTATTATAGTGTCCTACATTCATTTTTTTAGAATAGGATTATTTTTTGGGGATATGGAAAGAAATACGGTATATACTTGAAGGATTTATTTATCTAAAAAAATGTACTTTGCAAAAATTCTCAGCACACGATTTTACACCTCTTTTATGCACTTTGCAAAAATTAATTATCAGCAGACGATTTTAAACCTCTTTTAAAAAAAAAATCTAAGAATGTGAGACATTCAATCGTTGCGGTACTTGCGAGAATCGTGATAAATGCTACCGACTCCAGGAGTACAAGGTTTGGAAAGTTGAGTCATACGGTCCGGTTACTGGATACAATAATATGAAAGCCGAAATCGCTCGTAATGGACCAATCAGGTATTGAGTTTACAATTTGAATATTTAAATAAAAAATAGTTTTTGTATGGAGACATCGGGGCTCTGGTCTTCATGACTAAATTTGGCAACCCAGAGTTTGACAAATTTGTTTCATGCATGTAGATGGGTAACTTTGCTATCTTTATACTATGAGAATTGTTAGATTTTAGATGAAGACCTTATGGCAAAAAAAATGATTTGTTACAAATTTTTTAATTTTTTGAAAATATTAAAAAACTAACATATTAAAATATAATATTTGAAAGTTGTGGTATAATGGTGACCGACAAGATGGAAGCCTATATAGGAGGTGTGTACCAAGAATTTAATAATAGGCCTGAGGTAAAACACTTTATTAATATCACTCATAATCCTTTCACTGTTATAATTTTAATTTAGCATAAAAATTTAATTAAATAACTAATTTTTATTTTATTTTTTTATGTTATTTTTTAAAAAAAATTAATAAATCAATTTTTTATTTAATTGTTATTAAAAATATAGGAATTCTTAGAGGGGTAGGAGAATTTTGTCTACAAATTTAATATTTATTTAAGTCTACAAATTTTAATTTAATTTTGTATTAGGGATAAAATAGACCCCACCTTTGAAGTTTAAGTGTTTTTTTAACCTTTCTAGTGAAGGGTTAAATCGAAATATAGTATTAAATGATGCAATTAAATATAGTATTAAAATTTATACACAATATATAGTATTAAATAACGCAATTTTATTAATTAAAATGAAATATATTATTGAAATTTATACCGTGATTTATAAAATGAATAAAAATATCAAAACGATTTAACAATCGATATTTTCTAAAATATCTAAATTTTAGCAGATATTCATGAATGTTGTCCTTATCCCCATGTCTTTTATAGCTAGCTTTTAGATCCTACCAAATCCTTTCGACTTGGGTGTTGATTGATCTGTCATTTGGATCAGTAAAATTTCTTGAATGATTTACCCGATAATGGAAATAATTGGCTTGTTCTAACCTATTATATCTAAGATAAATAGATTTAAATTTAATTATTATTAGATTATGGTATATAATATGATTCCTTCCATACAAACTTAATATTATTTCCTCTTTTTTTATAAAATGAATATTTTTAAAGTAGGTGTGTATACTCAAAATGATGAAACAACTTAGAAGTTTTGTCTAAATAACCAATTAATACCGTCAGGAATACAACATACTTGCTGTAATTCCTTAATCCAATGCAATAGGTGTCGTAGATCGAATTCGATATGGAAAGGTTACATTAATTTTGATATTATAAATGCCCAATTTTTAGATTCTATTTTTGAAGGGATTCGGGACGTTGGGAAATTTTTAAGACTAGTGTACTTGTACATAAGTACTAATTCTTTAAAAAATATTAACTAACGAAATTATTTTTAGGCCCTTATACAATTTTAACTGCTTTGAAGGAATTAGATTATGATAGGAATGCAATTTATAGATGGTAATTTAAAGTAAAATAAATTGGATAATGGCCTAAAAATAATTTCGTTATTTAATATTTTTTAAAGAATTAGTACTTATGTACAAGTACACTAGTCTTAAAAATTTCCCACGTCCCGAATCCCTTCAAAAATAGAAATCTAGAAATTGGTCATTTATAATATCAAAATTAATATAACCTTTCCATATCGAATATGATCTACGACACCTATTGCATCGGTATCACAAATTCTTCTTGTTTTTTTCTACCCGCATTATGGAAATGCAACAAGTATGTTGTATTCCTGAAGGTATTAATTAGTTATTTAGACAAAACTCATAAGTTGTTTCATCATTTTGAGTATATACACCTACTTTAAAAAATTATTTCCATTATTGGGTCAATCATTTACTGATCCAAATGAAAGATCAATCAACACCCAAAAAGTTGAAAGACTTTGGCGGGATCTAAAAGCTAACTATAAAAGACATGGGGATAAGGATAACATTCATGAATATTTGCTAGAATATAGATATTTTAGAAAATATCGATTGTTAAATCGTTTTGATATTTTTATTCATTTTATAAATAACTTTATAAATTTCAATAATATAATTTAATGAATAAAATTGCGTTATTTAATACTATATTTCGTGTATAAATTTTAATACCATTTTTAATTGCGTCATTTAATACTATATTTAGATTTAACCCTTCACTAGAAAGGTTAAATTTTAGACCTAAATAAAGGCAAAATTCTCCTACCCTTCTAAGAATTCCTATATATTTTTTTACCCCAATTGCATATAAAAAAAATAATATACACCCCGAAAGTGGCAAAAACCAATTTTTTTAATCTATTGTAGGATTAGGGCATCATCAATTTCAAAAATATTATATAGGATATATAATAAGAAGAGGGCATAAATTAGAACTTGCTTAGGCTAAGCCCGCTTTGGCTTAGAATTTAAAAAAGTATAAGTGACTCTTAAGGGAACAAATCTTAAAAGAACTTATCTTATTCTTAATTTTTATGTTATGTACTTAAATTTTAATATTCTGCTATATAATCTATTTTATTCTGTATATATACATATGTCCTATTGGGATTCGGAATCTCTTGATTTTAAATCCCGAGGGTTATTTAAAAAATTTAAATTCCTATTTTACCAGAAATGTATTCTAGCATGTGTAGAGTATTTAAATAAATTTCAACCATAGATATTTTAGTATTTTTTAATTTATATGAAAAATCCATATAAAAATTAATATAAATTAGAAGTAGTTTCTAAAGTTCATGGCAAAATTGGCTGAAATTTATGGGTATGCTATAATACATTTCTGGTTAAATCGGATTTTTAAATTTTTTAAATCGCCTTTGGTAAAGGATTTAAAATCAAGAAATTCCGAATCTCAATACGATATATTTATAAAATATAATATTATTTTTGTAGTTAAAATTCATTATTGTGATATATCAAACATTAAATTAATGGGAAAGGAAATATAACTTTAATATTTTTTGGGTCATGGGCTGACCTATATTTTATTGATATTGTTATCCTGGCCATATGCTATATTTTAGTTTAGATATTTTCAAAGCTTTTGTTTGATATTAATTTAAATAAAAAATATATTATATTAGATAAATCACATTTTATCCGTAGCTGGTTGGGGAATAGAGGGTGCTGGTGACAACACAACCGAATACTGGATTATCAGAAATTCTTGGGGAAGCGCTTGGGTGGGTATTTAATCAACTATATATATATACGACTAGATTGGTTATTCACACATTAAATACATCTAGAAGTGTCCATGCATTGGAGTCAGTTATAGCACCATCTTTGTACGTGCATTCATTTAATTATAAATAAAGATAATTAGTGATCTTGAACCATAAAATGGCACTACAGCTGACCTCTATATATGGGCACTTTCAATTAATGAATTGCCAATCTAAGAGTATATATGCATCATTGTTTAATATAGAAATTATGATCCTTATAATAATTTATATATACTAAAAAAATTTATAATTCAGTCACTTTTTAAGCTCTATTCAAGAAATCCATATGGTTAGTCTAGGGTTGGGCCCATCATTAAAAGTTAATACAGATATTATGCAAATATAAAAACTATTCTTTGATATATTGCTTAAGGGTGAAAATGGATGGATGAAAATAGTCACTAGCAACGCCTTAAACGGCAGAGGAGGCGATTACAACCTGGGAATAGAAAACGATTGTGCTTACGCTATTCCCTATCCCCAACCCGTGCCTTATAAAGAACCTAGCATTTTTTCAAATGAGATTTAATTTTTTTTCTCTTAAAAAATAAATAAAAATAACCATTATATTTAAATATAGTGCCCAAAATGGCTACGATTTTTTTTTAATAACCTTAATCTTTATACCCTAACCATTCAAGACAGGAATTTTAATTTAAGATTAATTCAACACTTGATTAAAAAAATTCCAAGATGATTAAATAAATTTCTTTTCATATTTTCTCCGATTATATTTGGTGCTCTCTTTGTGCCACACTTAACCAATCCATATATTTCTTTTATGAAAAAATATACCTTATATATTAATATGATATCGAATTTTTTTTTGTTAATCCCAATAAAATTATTGTATTTTATAAATATAATTTATCTATCTTGATCTTGCCTGCTCAATTTTATATATATTTTTTAATGATTAATTTTATATCAAAAGTAAAAATCATGTGTATTTATTAATTATTATCTTATTTAAAAAAATTAATATATTTTAAAATTATAAATTTTTTGATCTTCGAATAATTTTTTTACCCAATATTCGTTTGAATAATTCATATAATTTGATTTTTTTTCCTATTATTCAAAATTTATCATATATATTCAACATTATTCGTATTAATTATTCATAAATATTTATAATTATTTGTAAGTATTTAACATATAATAATACCTTACAAAAACATTTTATTTTTAAAAATTTATTTCTCTGCCGAAGGCTACAAATTTGTTTTAGGGGGGAAGGAGGAGGGGTTTAGGTATAGGTTTTTGAGTGGGGTTTGCATCCGTAAGAAATCCTGCCAGTAGACGATTTTCTTCAGAAAGGGAGTTGGGATGCTTTTGCCTAATATTTTACTTTGTAGAAATTTTATTGCAGGGCTATAAAAAGGTATTGTCGGTTATAATGATATTATCCTTGCTGTCAAATTTACGCGCTAAAAGTAACGCTCTATGTTTTTAGCTTTAGTGATGGGGCACTTAAAAAGTAACTTTTACACTACTTTAAAATTAAAATCTAATGATTTATAAATTCGGACATTATTTTATAACAGCTAAATTATTATGGTTTGATAAATAATTTTGCAATTTAAATATAAAATTTTGAATTAATCATATTTTATTTTAAATATATCTCACTTTCAAAGTTTGTCTATAATAAAAGGAAGGTCGTTCATCATTTTTTAATAATAAATTCATTGAATGAACGCGTTCGTTTACCTATTTAATAGTGCGCGCTAATTGAGCGTTTGCGTTTGCAGTATGTTTTTTAATGCAACGCATCTTTGTTTAAATTGAAAGCAGTATTTCCTTGTTTTAAAATTGAAAAGTGATTTAATTTTTATTAAACAATATGGATTTCTTTAGTTTACAAGATAAACAACTAATTGCTTATTTTTTATACAAGGATGAGGAGAACATTATAATTACAAATAATGCTAATAAAATAATTTAATTACATTTTCAATTCTTTAATAATAAAAATGTACACTAGAACATGTAAGAATATTAAATATCTTATTAAAATAAATATAATCATACAATCTTGTGCAATTTTATTTAATTGGTCTTTGAATTTTTTTATTATAATCACACAAGGTGATGTCAAAATAAAATATTGTTAGCTCAATAAAACATAGTAAGTTTTTTATATAAATAGTCAATATCTTAAAAAATCAAACAAGTTTGCCTTTTTTTAACGCTTGCCGTAAAAAAAATCCAATTTGCACAATACCATCTAAAATGCATTATTAGCTTTTAAAACGGAGCGTTGCAATGCAACGCTCAATTTGTGCGCACTATAAAAAATTATAATTTTCGGCTCAACTGATTTACACTCTTCTTCCCGGATCCAAGAAAAAGATGTATTGAAAGATTATATATATATACTTATTTTCAAGAATCATAGATCGCTGTAACAGTAAAGACAACCACTTTTTTATGAATGCCTTTTTTCTTTTCACTAAAATGATACGAATATAAATAAAATCTCCATGCCTTTTTTTAGTATTAAAAAATAAAACCATCCTATTTTATAAATATTTTTCTAGAATATTGAGAACACCTATATAAGGAGAGTAAAAAAAAAATTCAAAGATTTTGAGCACTGAAGATTGTTTTTAAGAATGTTAAAATTTTTGTAATAGATCTTTTATGAGTCTCATTTTTTATACATAAAGAAATGTTTCATGATGAAATCATTAGTTTAAAAAAAAATGATTATGATATTTAAAAAAAAATATTCAATAATGTTCTTTAGTTAACCTCTCAAACATTCGGGCCAAAAATTTTTATTTTCAAACTGCTATCAAGTGCTAGTTGAACGGTTGTTCAGCAGAGCTAAACTTATATTTAGTGATGGCCACTCAAGACTTTTAGATAGTTTTTTCTTTCTTTTGCCTTAGCCTCAAGATTTCGCTAATAGTTGATGAGCAAAATCTTCAGACTAGCATAATTATTTTTTTTGGTTAAACACATTGAGAGACCGTTTTTATAAATCGGCTCAAATCGAGCCGTTTTACAACACCAATTAAAATATAATAAAAATAAATATACATTTTCATTTTTTACAAGTTACTTATTCATAATAAACTGACGTATTTTGCTTAACGTTTTGAATTTTCAAATTTTTTTAAAAATTTTTTGTGGATATTATTTACAGAATAGCGCAAAATAGCGAAAGCTAATTTCATAAATATACTAGCTATATTAGTGCGCTATTAGCGCAAAATAGCGAAAGCTAATTTCATAAATATACTAGCTATATTAGTGCGCTATTATTTTTATTATCTAAGCGCAATACACTTTTTGAAAATTAGGATGTATCACGCTACTTCTGAAAGTAACGTTTAAACAACACTTTATATTGCCCCCCCCCCCAAATTCCCTTCCAATTCCATGATTTAAATTTAGTTATTTCACCTATAGCATCATCAATTATAATTTCATATTATATAGTATATTTTTTATTTTAAAATTTGATTATAAATTTATTATCAAACTTAAAAAAATTGTGTGTATTATTTTTTTTATAAAAAAAATACGATATATAATATATGACCTATTTGTTAATTTAATAATTTTTTAAATTAATTTTTGCATTCTTTGCCCTCTACCCGATCAAACACAGGATAAAACATCTCATTATAGATTTTCCATGCGTCTTTAGCCACTTTTAGGATATTCTCTTTCGGCATTAAATATCCGGAGTTTTCCTTTTCTTTCAATTCTATCGCGAAACTGTATTTTATCCCCATATTGTCGTAGGCCCAATCTACCGACGAACCAGTTGCCACAACTAATAATAATGTGTATAATAATAATAATGGAAATGGTGTCAATTAATATAAACAATGCACTCAAATGAATAATAAATAAAGTTAGCTTGATCATATGTATCTTAATCTCCCCACCCCTTTCACGACGTATACATGCATATTATCCCACTCACATTCACTGATGATTATTTGTGAGGATAACTAAATAAATAAATGTATAAAATTGTAACACATAAAAATAATCATTCCAAGTTTACTTTGTTCTCGTTCCTAACTTCATCACATATTTTGGAGGATTTCGACCTACACATTAAAACCTAGATATTAATCTTCTCGGGAAGATAAAATTTACTTAACTATATATTCAATACTCAGATATATTACACAGGGATTATCTGTTATCAACTTCATGGAACTTCAATTTAAATCGAAATATCATAATTTTCTTATCAAAGTACAGTGTTGTGATGATTTAATGAAACATATTGACGATTTAATTAAAACACATGCATATATAATTATAATCTTTACAAATGTACAACAAAAGAAATAATAAAAGAAATTTCAATAATGATTTGTCTATATTTTAATTATTTTTGCAAATATTATAATTTTATATGAGAATGGGTTTGAACTTAATCGTCAATATGTTTCATTAAATCATCACAACATTGTAAATGTATTGCAATTTAATGAGCCAAATCCTGGCCCGCTTTGGGCAGTTAAAATTTGTTATACAAGCTGTCCAATCCTAAATATTTTTCTCTATGCCAGGCCCGTTTTACTTTTTAAAAAGTGGCCAGAACCGACCTGACCCGTTATAATTATTTAAAGCCCCGGCCCATAAAAATTTTGCGAAAAATCTGCCCCTGTCGGATAAATATTTTTGCACAAATCTTCCTGCCTTCACATTTCTAATATCTCTATAATTTTTTTTCCCCAATCAATTAAGGCTCTTATATCTTACATCTATGGCTATCTATTTCTACAACAATATTGTGTTTGTATCTGTATTGATTGTGCACTTGTAGTAATTGTATCATATTATATCATATATAAATTGTTTAAAAATACAAAGAAATAAGCATATTGTAATAATGTAATTTATCTTCGAAATAGTATATATAAATCCTAATCGAAACATTAGCTTTTAAATTTCAAAAAATAAATAAATATATATATCAAAATTAAAATGCCCTGGCTGGCTTATTTAAAATTTTTACGAAAAATCAGAAGTTTACTAGTAGTGTTGTTAAAAAGCCCGATTTGGGCCGATTTTTCAAAACGCCTAGATTATTTAGCTAAAATAATATTATGTAAACATTGAGATTTGGCAAATAAATATCCGAGCATTTCAGACAACTATGAGTGTTGTTAAACGGCTCATGAGCCGATTTTTTTAAAACAAATGGCTAACTCAATATTTTAGCCAGAAAAATATTGCCCAAGCCTCGTCATTTCGTTTAATATATGTCTAGATCTTTGTTATTTCTATGAGCAAAATCTTCAGGCCTCCATAATATATTTTCTGGATAAAATAATGAGTTAGCCGTTTTTAAAAATCGGCTCAAAACGAGCCGTTTAACAACACTACATAAAACTTACATAAACGATTGCTAATGCTGCCAATTGAGTAATCTGGCGTATCGATTATCGCTTTCTTCATGATGAAACGCTAATATAAGATATATATTAATATTTTTTTTAAAAAAAAAAGGAAGAGGAAGAATCCAAAAATAATTATATTTTACCAATTCCTTGTGATTGCTCGGAGGATCGTAAGTGTGAGCATACGGGGCCAGGAACATGGCTCCATATTCGCGGATCGTTACGAAGGATCTGAAGTCGCATTTTAGCGAACTTATAAAATCTCTCACAGTTCTGGTCTCGATTTCGGTGAAAGGTCTAGGCCCCTGATAATAATCCGAGCATGGGTCAGTGTAAGAAACGCCACCAATGGCTAAATAAGTGTTAAAAATAACAATAATTAAATAAATTCCTTTTTTTTAAAAAAAAACTAACCCAATTTTTCTTTGCCCCATGACACGTGTTCATAATTACTGTCCAAATCGACACCGATGCATTTCGAGTTATAGTTTGGTCTCCTATTCTTAGTCCATAATCTATCCTATTTCGTATGATTTTTTTTTAAAAAATGTAATAATATTTGAATTGATTCCTTGTTCGATATCGAATAATTCTTTGTTCAATTTCAAATAATTCGTTGTTCGACTTCGAATAATTAGAGTATTATGATAATTTTAAATCTATTCGTTCTTTAAAGAAAATTTAATAAATTTCCCGGTTAGGAACCCCCATTTAATCGAATTAACTATAATTTCAAAATCAAATATATATTCGATGGGTTAGATGTTTTTGTCTTTTTTGTGGAAATTGTTTAAAAATTTAAATATCGACGTTAAATTGATTCTTGTCGAAATCGAAAATAAATTCCACCGTCATTTATTCAAGACTGGGAAAAAACAAATGGAAAGAAGTTTATTCAGCAAAAATTCTATATGCCCCCCCCCCCCCCCCCAAAAAAAAAAGAGAAGATAATATTATTTATTTCATAATAAAATATATGTCCTCGGTTGAGTATTATAATATTCTATATCGACATTTTTATGGTAAAATGCTTTTCCTTTTCATAAATGTGTCTTTTTTTTCAATTTTATAATCTTATATAACCACAATAAAAATGTTAAAATATAATTGAGGATATAATCCTTTATTTTCATTAATTGGCATCGTGATCTTCAATTTAAAACGCGAAAATATATATATTTTTCTAAAAATACTTCTATTAGTCAGAAGTAGTGTTGTTAAACGGCTCATTTTTAGCAAGCCTGAATTTTGCACATAGATGATACAGAAAGTCTAGACGTTTTATTAGCGAAATCTGGAGGAATTAAATATAGAGTTAGCCGTTTTTTCAAAAGCGGCTTAAAACGAGCCATTTAACAATACTAGTCAGAGGGCAAAATGAGATGAGCAAGATAAAACCATTCTAAAATCAAGGTTAAATAACCCCCAAAATCTCATTTTACCACCATCGGAATTTTGTTCTATTAGTAGGTTGTTAAAAAAAAAGAAGGAAACTCAGTGATTTCTTTTCCGAAGATTCGAACATATGGAATCGAGGAACTAACTTTTGACATTCGAGTTAAATATTTAGGGATTAATTAATTATTCTATTTTTGAGTTATTCGACTTATTTGAAAAATCAATTTTACTAATTTATTAGAAAAGATATAATAAAATTAAGGTGCTGCCAATAATTAAATTTATTGAACATTTTTGCTATAAATGAACAAAAAAATAATATCTATAATCCATCCATTAAATACATTTTGATTTTAAAGGTAATAGCTTACTATAATCTTGTATACCATTTGATAATGAGCCATCTTTCACTATGCCCAATTCTATCATGCATATTTGAGTTATAGACCACGAATTTTGAAAATGTTTTCAAATATATATATATGCTAGCGTTCAATGTGTCATTTTCAACTTTAAATCATTATTTGAGCGCGTTTTTTTTAAAAATTTAAAAAATCTGATAAATACATTCCATCATGTTTGGAATACCTATCTCATGAATTATAGATAATAGTGTTTTTAAACTGCTCGATTTTGAGCTGATTTTGAAAAATGGCTAACTCAATATTTTAGCCAGAAAAATATTTTCTAAAACCTAGAGATTTCGTCAACAGATGTTTAAACCTTTGCACCACCTATGGGCAAGATCTTAGAGGCCTTCCTAATAATATATTGAGTTAGCCGTTTTCAAAAGATCGGCTCAAAATGAGCCGTTTAACAATGCTAATAGATAATTAAAACGGCTAACTCAATATTTTAGCCAGAAAACTATTTTCTAAACCTAGAGATTTCGTCAACAGATGTTTAAACCTTTGCACCACCTATGGGCAAGATCGTAGAGGCCTTCCTAATAATATATTGAGTTGGCCGTTTTTAAAATATCGGCTCAAAATGAGCCCTATAACAATGCTAATAGATAATTAAAACGGCTAACTCAATATTTTAGCCAGAAAACTATTTTCTAAACCTAGAGATTTCGTCAACAGATGTTTAAACCTTTGCACCACCTATGGGCAAGATCTTAGAGGCCTTCCTAATAATATATTGAGTTGGCCGTTTTTAAAAGATCGGCTTAAAATGAGCCGTATAACAATGCTAATAGATAATTAAAACGGCTAACTCAATATTTTAGCCAGAAAACTATTTTCTAAATCTAGAGATTTCGTCAACAGATGTTTAAACCTTTGCACCACCTATGGGCAAGATCTTAGAGGCCTTCCTAATAATATATTGAGTTAGCCGTTTTCAAAAGATCGGCTCAAAATGAGCCGTTTAACAATGCTAATAGATAATTAAAACGGCTAACTCAATATTTTAGCCAGAAAACTATTTTCTAAACCTAGAGATTTCGTCAACAGATGTTTAAACCTTTGCACCACCTATGGGCAAGATCGTAGAGGCCTTCCTAATAATATATTGAGTTTGCCGTTTTTAAAATATCGGCTCAAAATGAGCCGTATAACAATGCTAATAGATAATTAAAACGGCTAACTCAATATTTTAGCCAGAAAACTATTTTCTAAACCTAGAGATTTCGTCAACAGATGTTTAAACCTTTGCACCACCTATGGGCAAGATCTTAGAGGCCTTCCTAATAATATATTGAGTTGGCCGTTTTTAAAAGATCGGCTCAAAATGAGCCGTATAACAATGCTAATAGATAATTAAAACGGCTAACTCAATATTTTAGCCAGAAAACTATTTTCTAAATCTAGAGATTTCGTCAACAGATGTTTAAACCTTTGCACCACCTATGGGCAAGATCTTAGAGGCCTTCCTAATAATATATTGAGTTAGCCGTTTTCAAAAGATCGGCTCAAAATGAGCCGTTTAACAATGGTTAATGATGCTTGGTACCTTAAGGTACCATCTATCAAATTTGAATTTTGTTCATTTTTCATTTGGATAGGCACTACCAAATATATTTATAATATATATTTGAAAAATCGTTATTTTTGGAAAGCCTCTATGGCCTAGTAGACAAGAGCTTGATTTACTTATCCCATGGTCCCGGGTTCGAATCCCGGGAATGATCATGTTTTTTTTCTTATTCTAACTTGGTGGTTCCATCCTTGGGGGGATAATATATAGGAGGCCGGACTCGACCACGTGATTCCGTATTAATATATTAAATAATAAGGATCTTATTACATTTTAATAAATTTTGGTCGGTATTTAGCAAATTAGGTTGGTATTTAGAATATTTCCATACATTCACTTGGTAGTAAGCATCATTAACCTTTAACAATGCCAATAGATAATTTTGCTGTTAACCTTTGAATCATTTATAATTTATAAAATAAAAAAAATTTATGGAAAATCTAATATAAAATTTTTTCTAAGTTTTCTAAATTTCATGGCAAAAATTGTCTGAAATTTATAGGGTAGGTATTCCCAACATGATGGAATACATTTTCCTGTAAAATCAGATTTTTAAATTTAATATAAAACGCGCTCAAAAAAAATAATAACACATTACGGAAATAAACGCTATCGGCGCCGACAATTCGGCGCAGCATCAACTCAGCGCGGCGACAATTCGGCGCAACACATTGACGCTACCATATATATTTTTTTAAAGAATTTATTTGACTCCCACCGTATCATCAATAGATTTCAAAAATTTATATATAAAATTGTTCAATAGTTTTGTTGTTTGGTTGTATTTTATTTTAATAAAAGAGAAACAAAAATTTAAAATTGTGATAGAAATCAATTAACCTTAAAGGGAATTGATATGTAATTTGAGTAATTGTACTCAAATGTATTGTTAATTGGGTACGATGATTAAATGTATTTAAGATTGGTTAAGATATATAAACTGAAGTATACAAAATACATTATAAAACTGTTACAAATATAAATAAATTGTTCAATGTTAGTCAAATATGTCAGAAATAAAATAATACTTCAATGAATGAATATTCGTAACCATCAGGATTCATAAGAGGCATTATGTAAAAATCAGCTCGTCTTAAAAGTTCCTTTATATACCTAAGTTGTAGAGGAGATGACCATCTTTCCGGTTCAAATAACTTTTTAAAAAATATTATTTATTATATAAAAATAACTATTATTAATTTATTCAAAAAAATTCTTTAAATTGGTTTCCTCTTGACATTTAGTTCAACTTTCCCTCTTATCTCCTATTTATTGAAGTTCAAATAATCACATAAGGTTAAACCTCCAACATGATAGGTTGTGGGGAGACCGGGGTACATTGAGTATCCAATTATAATTTGAACTATTATTTTATATGACTGGAAATTACTTAACATAGATAATTACTTAGTCATAGATGATTGGCTAAAAAAAATATTTAGTATTTTAATTTTTTACAGAAGAAAATGTGTTTTAGTATATACCAAAAAGTAATAAAAAATAATAATTGCAAACTTTATCGTTTATATTTATAAATAAAACTTCTTACAAATTTTCAGAATCAATAAATAGGAATTAATAATGATTCTGAATGCTATTTGTAAAGTTAGTGGGCTCGGTCATGGTTGGTCATAATATAGTTGGGACGAGATATCTTAGCTCATTTTACCATTTATGAGTTATTCCGAAATGCAATAAAAAGGAGAGGAACATCTCCCGAACAGAATTTTATGGGAAAGTCTTAAATTTAAAACCACTAGTCATAAATTTATCATTATTACTTGCAGGAAAGATTATTTATATAATTATATATATTTTTTTTAGGCACTCCAAAATCAATACCCATTTGTTATGTATTACAATATTATCAGTCTCTAGTCTTACTGGAATACCGATTTTTAATTTTTACTTATTTAGACAACCTCTATTTTATGAGTGAACCAACTATCACTTATGTGTTCCTAACGTACCCAGAGTATGTCATAGTTGAGCCAAAATTTTTTTAAAAATCAAATTCAATATTCTAAAAAAATATAGCTTTTATAAAAATATATATTAATTATTTCAAATAACCTTTACTTTTGGGATACTCTTACTATGAAATTGTTTTGACTCGTCAAACTCAAATTACCTAATCAGCTGTTAAGGCAAAGATATTAACATAAACCCACGTCTATCAATAAATGTCCTTGATTAATATATTAGTTCCTTAACAGAGATTTCCCTCTCGTCGTTCCCGTCACTCTATTCAATCATATTTTGACGTCCTTGTGCTCATGGAATCATGCCAAATTTCTAAAAAGAACTTGACTTTTATTATTTCGTCCACTTCCACTTCCTACTTACAGAGACTCATATGACTAATCAACTCAAATAACGTCTTCCTATTTTTTTTCTTACAACATTGGCATTCCTTACATCTAACTCAATCTTATTAAATCTTTTCCCTTAAATGATTTCCCATGTTACAACTGAATATCATCTTCCCTTCCTTCCTCTGCAATATCCCTCCGCCTAGCGATAACCCTTTTTTTATATTGAATGTTATCATTTGCAATTTATATAATATATATATTATATATTATAATAAATACATTTATTGTTTACTAGAGATATGAAATACAAAGCCGTAGTAATTGACGCCCATTCTCTAGCGCGTACGCCGGCCTCTATGTAAAAAGCTGGTTTTCTAATCCCCGTATCTTCTCCTATCTATTATGCAAATATATATATTTTTTTTTTATAATGCCATAATTCATTTACCGCAAAAGCTATATAAATTTTGGAAGAAATCGCGTTTCATTTCATTATGATTATCACTTTTAATCATATTTATATTTTTTAAAAAAAGCTTTTTTTTTAAAATGAAGGAGTTAAATTATGAATATCATAAGCTTAAAAATTTACTTGAAATGAAATTTAATTGTTATTTGATGATAAAAAAAATTAATTATTTAAAACTAGTTTAATGATAAAACCAATTAATAACTTAAATTATATGATCTTTGATAATTTAACAGTTCTCTATGCTAAATAGATACCAACAAACAAATTTTTGAATTTGTTTATATATACTTTAAAAAAAAATCAACACTTTTTTCTCTTCAAAAAATGTGATAAAAGTAAATCATATTAAGAAGCCTAGCCCGAAATTAAATTTTTTTTTTGTCACATCCCGAAAACTAAAATTATTTTTTAAAAAATAGGCACACCTAAAACCAAAGTAAATAAGTAAATTCTTACCCCGGGGAGGGGGAAGGTCGGGTCTGGTCGGACCTTGCATATCACTAAATCAAATGTCATTTCAAAAAAAACCTTAATAATTTTCAATTCTTTGTCCTCGTAACTTTTTCCTACGGTGAAGACCTTTATCAATTTGGGTTTCTGAGCTTCCAAATGATCCAACCATCTAAGCACCTAAATTGAAAACAGTGTATAAAAAAAATATTTCGGTTAAATATGCATATTAAAAGGCTTGTTTAAAACCTAGTATACTGCATAGTTTTTTTTCCCCTTCTTCTAAAATGTTGTTCTTATCAAGATCCTGGAGGAATACGATAATTTTATTGAAATCAGAATTGTTTGATTGTATATCTTAGCTCAAATTTTAGTGTAAAGATAATGTTTTCTATATAATGTTCTATCTGCAAATTAATATTAAGGGCCATAACAGTTACTCACAATAAAAGAATAGTATCGAATCGTATATACATTTCAATTATTATTTTTTCGTTAACCCACGTAGGTTTATTAAAAATAGAATACTTTGTCCTGAATGGTCAAATTTAAGGTGAAAACAAATTTTAAATTTTAATTGGGTTTCTTAAGTATAAAAGGTTATGATAATTAAATTATTTTATGGAAGAAAAGGATGGTGAAATAAAAGCGGAAATCCCCCACCCCCTCCCTCGGCTCTTATCTAATCTCAATCGTCATCATGGCTAAAAATGCATCTAAGTTATATATACAGATACATAATTTAAGTATATAGATACAGCTAAAATTTGTCTGGATACAGATATTTCTGCTATAAATATAGCTATATGTCGTATGGGAATTCGGAATCTCTTGATTTTAAATCCTTTACCAAGGGCGATTTTAAAAAATTTTAAAGTCCGATTTAACCGGAAATATATTCTAGCATGTGTAGAGTATTTACCCTATAAATTTCAGCCAATTTCAGCCATAGACATTTTAGTATTTTTTAATTTATGTGAAAAACCCATATAAAAATTATTATAAATTAGAAGTAGTTCTAAAGTTCATGGCAAAATTGGCTGAAATTTATTAGGGTAAATATTCTACACTTGCCATTTCCGGTTAAATTGGATTTAAAAATTTTTTAAATCGTCCTCGGTAAAGGATTTAAAATCAAGAGATTACGAATCCCCATACGACATATATATAGACACATATACTTCAGCTAAAAATATAAGATGTATACTTTAATAGAATCGAATCTGGATAATAATCAAATCAGCATTATTTGTATTTAGATACTTTTACATGGGGGTAATAAATATGTAACACGAAAAATTTAGAAGAAGTTAATATTATATTACTATAGAAAAATATATTTAAAAAAAACGATGCAGTATGTAAATGATTTTTTTTAAATTTTATGAATATTACGATTATGAACTAATAAAACTTGAAAACTTCATAATATCTAGGATAGTAATCAAAGTACATGTAACTGCCCAATTGTGGCCATAATGTTACATATTCGATGGTAATTTTTGTTTGAATATCTATTATTCTAAAAAAATTTATTTTATAAAATATTGATTAGAAAAAGCACCAGGATGCCATTTGTCCGACCCAGAGACCGGCAAGAGTGCATGGACAGGCCCGTAAAATTTTTTTTTAAAAAAAATATAAACCCGGACCGAACCGGTTTCTATAAACCAGAACCGGGCCCAATATTTTAAATCGCAATTATTTTACATATAGTAAAATAAAATATATTTAAAAAATTGTCGTATAAAACAATATATCGCGTTCATTCGCTTGTCATATTTCCTATATCATTTCAACCATTTTATCGGAATAATATTATATACTCGAAACGGGCCAAAAATATTTTTTATTTTTTAAAATGAATAGAAATCCGGGCCGGGCCGTGCAATTGGTACACCTTCGCTAGTCTCAACCGAAAGTAAATAGAAAAATTTTGATTTATAGAGCTAACGCATTTTCCCAAACTCACATTATTTTATATTTAATTTCTAATATCAAATCATAAATCTAAATTTGAAGTTAGAACAATTTCATCAGTAATTGATCGAAGAGAGATAAAATAATTATTAATTAATTTGGAATAAAACTTTTGAATAATGTCTGTTTCCATTTTTGTCGCAAATCTTATGTTCAACTTCTTCAATAATCGTACAAAGTTTTCGTAGTTGATTTTTAATATCATGATATCTATAAACAAACCCCCTTCGGTCCTGTAACAAGACCATATTTTATTCTAAAAAATATAAAAATGTGTATAGAATTTAGTGTTATTTTTTTTTTTTTACATCAGAATGGTTAGCTTGTAATTGAGCTAAGCTCTCGTATTCCAAACTATTTATTGCCCATGCCTGTATTAGCATATAACTATTATATATATAATATATATATATATTATATAAAAGTATCATAATTTTAAACGCGTACCCAGAATAAGATTTTTTGCTAAGAATTTCGAGTATGTGAATGATCAATTGGATCACAATGATCAAGATCTTCATATTTTTTCTTCAAAATTTAAATCCTCTCTAGGCTCATCTTAAGGTCTGGAATGAGTTTGAATTTTTCTTAAAAATATATCACGTTAAAATCGCCAGCATTGTTGTTTTTTAGAAGGGTGTATATATATATATGTGTGCAATGATTTTTTTTGTAAAAACTCATAATTAAAATAATGAAGCAAATATATTGTATGGAGATGTTTTCGATAGATTAAATTTTATATACAAGTTATAATGTTTCGAATCTTTCTAATAAGAACAATTATATAAATTTTATTTTTGTGTAAAAAATATCTAATTTTATATCCGGAAATTACGCTGCGTTTATAGTAAACGCGTTATCTTCAAGCGTTGCCTTTTTTTTAACACTGCGTTATTACAGCTGGTTCAGTTTTAAAAACTAATTTAAGATAAAGCGAAGAATAGATATAATTATTTTATAGTATCCCATATATTTTTATCAACGCATCGCAACATATGTTTTACAAATTGTATCATAGCGTTATCATAACGCTCCTTCCTTCCTTCCTTCCTTCCTTCCTTCCTTCCTTCCTTCCTTCCTTCCTTCCTTCCTTCCTTCCTTCCTTCCTTCCTTCCTTCCTTCCTTCCTTCCTTCCTTCTTCCTTATCATATGTCAACGAATGTATTTGATTATTATTAACATCATGAAATTTACAAAAATATAATAATAATTAATAATTCTTGATTGACAGCTCTCAACACTCAACGTCAATCACAACATATTCTACATTGATATTATGAGGAATTTATTTTTTAATATAATTAAAAATTGTGTAATTTAAAATATTCTACATTTGAAGGTTCACCCATATTTTAGCAAATGATCCCCACTATAACTTTAGAACTAATGATTCCTTCTATTTAAGCTAAATATAAATATTTTTTTATTATGAAACTATTTAATCTTTTTTTAAAAAACCGAACAAAATAAAAGAGTTGAAAGGAAGAAAAAAAATTAAAAAATTAATAAAGCTAATTAGCACCATAGAGGCGAAAAATTTGTATTTTAAGTTAATAGATTTTTTTTTAAAAATATTTTATTCTTTACAAGAATGAAGATTATTTAATCTAGGCAAGAATGACTTGTTTATTATCTCTAGGAATTATTACATTTCCCTTCCTTTTGGGATCATTGAATTATATTCATGTCACACTACCCAGAGAAGGTTAGGATAAGGTCGTTACCATTTCAACAATTTAATCTTAATTCATGAATTTACTCACCTTTTGCCACACTTAATTTTTGACTCAAATAACTAGCTTAAAAGTATTATAATGTCACCTATCCCTCATTAAGGATGATCGACTTTGCCAACACCTATAATTCTCTTTTGCCGTAGATATTTTATGCCAATACTTTTTTTTGTATTACCCAAAATTTATCCTTCTATTAACCAGTCTCTATCTATCTTTAAAGGAGTTATGTTAACCCTGAATTTATAGTTAACGCAATTCGCGTTGTGAAGTATACAAGAACACAGAATATTTTGTATACTTAGCTGCTAATCCATGCTAACTGAGAATGAAGGGAAAAAGCTTAAAAAACCCCGCAAACTCGACTCAATATCTGGAATCCATGTTACTTATAATCGGTGTCAAGTAAATAGTTACTTATTGAAAAGTTATTTATCATTTTATAGGTTAGTATTGAACGGCCGAATTAAAATTTTATCCAAAATAATATTATGTAAGCCTTGATATTTTGCTTAAAGATTAAAGTTCCATTGGCTAAATTTAGGCCCAAAAAAGAAAAGGATTTTCCTAAAAAAAGAGGGAAAATTCCCAATCAAAAACAGGAAAAAATACCCAATAAAAATTTATGCAAGAGCCGGTGTTGACCTGAATAATATTTTTAAAGATCTGCTTGAAATTTATTGTTATATATTATTAGTTTGAATTGTATTAGATAGATATAAATATTATATTTTATTACACATGATTTAAACAGATAGGTAAATTTTTATCCAAATTATTAATTTTAGATTTTATTTTTAAATATTAAAAATATTTATATTTTATACTAATTTTTATAAAATTGACCTTGTGTTTTCATGAATTTAAAAATTATTACTCTTTTTTTTTTAAAAACTATCATATATAAAAATAGAATTATTTAATACAAAATAGAGACAGAGTTATTTGTTTCATAAATATCATATAATTTTTAAAAAAAATGATGAGCTTTTTTAAATAATCATCAAATCAAATTTTATTCATAAACTAAACCTTAAAAATTACCTATAGAAATCCCAACTTTTAGAAATTTTTGGCAGAGGCCTGCAGAGGTATCATTTGCACAGCCCGATCACGAAAATTTTTTCGACCCGGACCGGGTTTTATATTTTCAGACCCGGCTTTTTTTTAAAAAAAATTTTTAGGCCCGGCCCGAATTTTTTTAAAATATATTATATTTATTTTTAATTTTTATAGCTAATAATGCCGATTTCAAATGGTTTTAAAATATATAAATCTATATATTTAAAAAAATTATAACGCTGTGCTACCCGTGTACCCGGGCCGGGCTTAGGGCCGGGTCTGTAGGTTTCTGATTTTATGAGAAAGAATTTTAAAGGCTTATTGACTTGGAATAAATTTATATAAAATTTACCTATATATCAGGTCTCTTTTTTTTCATCAAAATAAATATGCATTCAAACAATTTTATAAATTTTTAGAACCAAGGTTTTTTTTTTAAAAAAATAATATATATTATGAAATTATTTATCATTTCCGGGAAGTCTTTTTTGTAAATATTCGATTGGGAGATTTTAATTGAGGATATTTTCATAATTGCCTTCAAAAATGGTTAAATATGAGAATATTTATTTTCAATTCGCTGTACAATAATAAGGATTCGTTTAATATAAATTTACACCTTTAATTCTCAATTACCATTCATAAAATATAGGTATCCCCTATAATTTTTTTTTTATCTGAGCATTTGTTAAAATAATCTTTTGTAATCCTTTCATTTTTCATCGTATCCATTCCATTTGTGGTGTCACATTTTTTTATCTAAAATGTCAATGAATACTTATTATGTTTATCAATGCTCAAATTACAAAAGTATCAAAGTTGTCACCAGATTTATCTAGTGTGTCTCACATTTTAAAATTGATCTATCCAAATCGCTCAATTGAAAACACTCCTTAAACGTTGAGAATTCTCGAAGCACAGAAAAAAAATACCGAATCTCCAGAATTATTTCTTAATGATCAAATATAAAACGGAATTACTCAGACAGTGGATATTGAGTTTAAAAGATAAATTGCTAAGAATAATATATAAAAGAATGAAATTATTATTTTTTATTTATTTTTAGAAAATAATCACTATTAACAATTATGGTGATAAAATTGCTTTCGCGCCTTTTCCCTGACTTCGCAAGTATGGTTCGCAAAGTAGTTTACGCTAAATTGTATTCGCGACTTGATTTGGCCTTCTCTTTGAGATTTTCGCTGTTATGATAAATTGGCGATAAAAGTTTAGCTGTTATGTATTAGTTCTAAAGGGATCTCAATAAAAGTTCTGCTAATAAAATATTATCAATATCGTTTTCGTTATAGCATACGTAGGTGAATTGGCCACCATAGTTTTTCTAAGCGCTTTAATAAACTTGTATCTCTAGGACTTTATTTGGTCCTTTTCGAGTTTATGCTGACCCTAGGATATTAATATCCATAGAAAGGTTTGGGTTAAGTTCGGTTTAGAGGAAAAAAAATATTAAATGAGACAATAATGAAATAATAATTAGAAGATGAACTGAAAAGTTAATACTGTCTTTATTATTAAAACAATGTTTGATAAACTTCTTAAAACTTTAATTTATCTTTATGTTTTTACTCAAATTAATCAAATAAGCCTAGATCTGGAAAACATGATAGTCTCAATAGTAAATATGCTGGCATTATTAAACAAAATATAATTCTTAGCTAAGAGAAAAACAGAAGAAAGCTCTATGTTAGTTGCTTGAAACCAAAGTTTTTAGGAATATTCAGATTGCTTAAATCAATCTTAAAATAAAGGAGAAGATGTAACGCTAATTGTAGTCAGATTTAAGGGACTAGGAATATATAAGAAAAATATCCCAAATAAAATGAAAAGACGTAATTGAGGAAATTTATTGAGCCTAAACTTACCAGATATGGTAGATGAACAAATAATGAGGATAAAAATTAGGAATATATATAAAATAAAGATTTGTTTTATGAATCGGTTTAACAAAAAAATGCAGGGCCAGGATATTTGAGTAAATACAGATTGAGTTTGGCTAGATAATAATTTGGTGCTTTAACCAATTTATATTTAAAAATTTTAGGGGTTGGGCCAGAAGAATATTTTTAAAAATCTGCCTGAAACATGGAATGCTGATTTTTGTTACATATTTTTGTTTGAATTGAATTGTATTAGATAGATATAAATATTTAATTTTTATTACACACGATTAAACAGATAAATAATTTTTTTTTTATTTCCAAATTGTCAATTTTAGTTTTTATTTTTAAATTAAAAATTATATATATTTATTACTTATTTTTTTTTAGATTAAAAATATCTTATTAATTCATAAATAATGGCTAACATGAATAAAAATAGAATTACTTAATATAAAATAGAAAGTTTTCACAAATATCATATAATTTAAAAAAAAATGATGAGCTTTTATAAATATATATCAAATAAAATTGTAGGGATAATATGGTATGGATACAGTCAAATATAATTTCATATAATTGATCTATTAATAAATTTATCAAATAAAATTGTAGGGATAATATGGTATGGATACAGTCAAATATAATTTCATATAATTGATCTATTAATAAATTTATCAAATAATAAGAGAAATTAATAAAATATGATGAAATAAAATTCAAATTATAAATAAATTTTTCAATATGTTGTGCTTAAATATAGATTTAAAGATAAATAAAAATTTAAGTATATAAATAAATTAAAGTCACTTTCTTTTAAATTCACTTTTAAAAAAATATATAATTTACAAAGAATAATACTTACTATTTACAATAAAATATAACCTTAACATGCGATTTACTTTTTTCTTACTAATCATTATGGCTATTTTACTGCTTATTGATGGATATCCATATACTACGAGAAGGAGAGGATCGAGTAATTTATATATATTTTACATTAGTAATATGCGCTAACAATATGAAGTATTATATTAATATTTATGATAATATAATATAGTATATATACATTACTTACTTGTTTATACATATTTTCTTCTAAATATTTGAATTTCTTAAAATATTATAATAATGAAAAATTGTATTCATATATTTTAAAATTAAATATTCATTTTAATAATAATTTAGTAGATACAGGTAAACCTATAGGTAAATTTAAAATAATAATTATATTAAATTTACCTATATTTTTTAATGCAATATTGATTTCATTTTATTAAAAATTTATAATAGTATTATTTTTCGATTAAATTTAATGAAGCATCTGATATATTACCGAATTCCAAAACTTGTAGATCATTTGAATTTTTTTTTATGAGAGTCAATGTGGTTATCACTTTTAGTCGGCCTGTTTTTTATTTATTTGGAGGAAAACGCATCTTTTCTGACAACCCAATAAAAAAAGTCGATTAGGCCCGTAAAATTTTAATTTATCCGTTTCCACACTTTGACGGCGGGTTAAGCGTATAAACTAGCAGCTCTGGGATATTTAGACTATGTTTATGAAGTTCGATGCATTCGCTTTACCAGATTTTTAATATTCTTGTCCAATTTGGGCCACGATACTTAATGCATTGAAATTAATTATTAAAGAAGACATTATTTTCGGGCATTGTAGCATAAGCAGAGCCTTTTCTTTGTAAGGTCTACACAATTATTGTCTTTCGCAGAATAAATCTATTGTCATGATCTATTTCATCTTCGCTAGATATGTTGGTTTGCAATTCGCCTATTTTTAGTTCAATAACTTTCATTTAATTTATATTTTTTTTGCCCTTAAAAACGCACATTTCTCAATATTAAATAGAAGGGCATATCTAAGAAGAAAAGAAAAATTTTGACACCATCTTCCCTCCAATTCTTTAGGGGTTAAGTTTCATGTTTTTATAACAAATTGGTCATGGCATCAATATTACATACAAATATAATACTTAATCCTCCGCTCTTGTGAAGTTGCTAAAGATTTCTTCTAATAATCATATATTAATTTTAATAATCTGCAGAAAATAATTCACTTAAAATACTATTAGAGAAAGCGTTAAAATAGCGAAAAACGGCAACAATTTGAAAAGTAGGTAGTGATCTAAAATCGCTCCGTCTAAGGCAAATTTTCAAAACGGCTAATTCAATATTCAACCAGAAAGATATTGCCTAAGCATCTAAATTTCGTCGTAGATGTCCAAACCTTTGTGCCATCCATGCGATTTTCAGGCAGGAGTAATATTTCTCTGGATAAAATACTGAGTTAGTCATTTTTAAAAATAGGCTCTGAAGTTATTTTGCAGCACAACGGGGGGGGGGGATAGATATAGCTAATTTTTTTAACTTGTCTAGGTGTATTTACGTGTGATCTATAATATACCCAAGATATTCCACCTTTTTACT